ACAGTTATTTTTAATATTATGTATGAGACATTATTGTATCATGTATTTCTCCTGCAATTGGTCTACAATGGAAAAGTAGCATGAGTTCCTTCTAAGAAGAGATTCTTGTGAAAATTTATTACAGGCTCAAAGATCAAGAGTGTTCTCAATAGACAATGATTCCATGGCAGACGCCTCTTTGGCAAGGGAAAAGAAAGTAAATACCACAGCATCATGTGAAAATGGACTCCTGTTCAACAAAAATGGAGCTTATCCAATTATAATGGAAATAGAGAACAGAGTTTCACCTTATCTCAGACAATGACTGTGACAGCCTTATGTCTTGCTACTGAAGTCATATATCTTCCTTACCCTAGGTTTGCTAAAATAAATACAATACTGCTGCTATGGTTATAATTACAAAATATGATTATATATAACAATGTTATTTTCAAGTCTAAACACATGGCCCATAGCAACTCTGCTTTCCTAATCCTATTATTCCTAATTTCATTAAACTAAAAATTGTATATTACATGTCTTTGCCAGGTCTGCCCACTTAAGATGCAGTCATCATAACAAAAGTATTATGCTCTGGAATTTAATTTGACATAGTTATATTTATTACAATGTAGATATTCTTAAATTAGATAGGTATTAAAAGATTGGGTTGATATTTCAGGTGATTTGGGGGAGAGGAGTAACATACTTGGCAAGAAGTGTCTTCTGTCAAGTTTAGACTTTAATAATTTCAGGTCAAGAAAGACCTTTAGTTTGCATTGTTTATATGCATTTGTTGTATGTATATTAGGGGTATCCAGTGAACCTCAGCAGAAGGAGATTCCTCAAGTAAGAGGCCATATCTCTCTATTTAATACTAAAACACTTTGCCCAGCAACATGGAAACAGGGAAATTTCCAGGAAGAACCAAAAAAAATTTTTAAAAATGGAATTTATAAGAATCCACTTCCATACCCATCAGCAATAAACTGCCATCTTGAAATGTAGCTTAAAATAAGCTAAAAAGGTATCTAGAGACAGACCACTATTGTGATTTTAATATGTCTTAATATAGTAAAGAAATATTTGATAAACCAATCCTCTTAGAATTGTTCCCCTAACAATCCCACAAATCCCACAAAACAGTCAAAAAATAACAGTTTTCTTTTTCTGTTATTCAGTCTTTGTTGTTATGGGTAAAAACACGTAATATCTAACGCTTTAAAGTGCTTACTATTTGCCAGACACTGTTCAAAGTTCTTTGAGTAAGTAAGAGCAATGTTGGTCCATGTTTCCTAATATTTGCAATTTGGCTTAATCTGATGATACCAAGTGATCTGATTCATATTTTGTCTTCATCCCTCATTAAGTTATTAATTATGAACAAGAATTATGGGCAATTGCCAGTAGTTGGTACTTCAACCAAAAATGTTTGGTACAAAGATGTATTGAAAATACTACTGTAATGCAAACTAAAATATATGTTCCTTAAGGGCAGGGATCTTTTCTGTCTTGTTCTTTGCCATGTTTCCTGTGCCTAAAATAGTGTTCAGTCATAAGTAGGTGCTCAGGAAGATATGCAGAATAAAATGAACGAATGAGTGTATCACAAATGTGCAAACTCCTAAAAGTTACAAAGCTTACAGGGGTTCCTTGTTTCTCTGTCACTGCGTATTCTGCATAGGGGAATTAAATGTACATTGAATAGAAGGGAAGGGGATCCAATAAATCTTTAAACTAGAGAGCTATTCCATATTTGGATTTCAAACCATAATCCCTATCTCTTTGGTTTTATTATTGTTGAGGCTTGTCCTTGGTTTACCATAGCATAGCATTAGTAATTCAAGCCCCCAATTTTCCATCTATTGTTGAAGCTACTACTCTAGAAAGAAAAAAATAATCTTGCTGAACAATAGGGACATCTGCTGATTAAAACGACATGCTTCTATCCTTAAAATATTGCATTGCATTTAGATAGACAAGATTTAGGCAATAAAGTTGGCGTAACACTAAATGTGACATTGTGTTAAAATAACCTCCTTCCACTTGAATAATAATAAAAGGTAACATTTTATTCCAGAATTGTCCAAATAGTGACACCATCTGGAAAAAAACTGTACTTTCCTTAGTCAGTAGCTATTGCAAAAGAATACAAATGGCTAGCTTCCAGATCTTCTGGCTTAAAACACTTAACTATCTTTGATATCAACAAACATTTAAGTGTCTACTAACTTAAGGTACTCAGACTTTCAGAACACCCAATTTGTATCTTTCTTAGAACTTATAAAAAGTGGCAATTACAATCAGTTTACTAATATATTGTCCCTCTCCCTTCCATGCTAGACTATAAAGGAACTGGTCTTTGAGTCAGGTCCAGATGTTCTCCCAATTTAGTAATGTAACTGAACCGTTTTGTTTGGCGCACCAAAATTACAAGGACAGAATGAAAACTTTTATCCTCACTGGCAGGGAGCTATCGGAAGCCTTAGTTCCCCATTCCCCTAATTGGAAGAGGAAATGATTTTTGTTACTAGTCCATTTATAGGTCTCAGTAAAAGATCTAGTGCAAAAGAAAAAGAAGAGCGTATGGAAAGGCGGTGACCAGGTGGAGGTATGAAAAGGAGTGTGATGAGACACAACATGGAGGGCAGGAAAAGGGTTAAAAGAAGACCCAGAAGAAAGGCTACAAGAAGCATCTGAGACAGAAAAGCACCTGCAAAAGTCTGGTGTGTGGGCCTAACTAGGCCAGTTTGTTCATACCTCTATTAGCATAGGAATCCCCATCAGCTCTCCAGAAGTTCTGGAAGTTCCAGTGGAGACCCATTAGCTGTATTAACAGGACTCAGAGACCATAGAAAGAAAATTACTCAGTAATTTTTCTTGCACTCTGAACAAATCTTTACAAACATACATCTTCTGAATTATTCCATATAGCACATGTGATGACCATGAAACAGAACCCACTTCTCAGTATTTGAGACACTTTCATATCACTGTATCAACCTGTCATAACAGAAAGGCAATTTCATCAATATCCAATCACTGATGAAGCTCATGAAAGTGTTATAAAAAAATATGGGGTCCAACAGAGTAAATTATAACTAGCAACTGCAGTCAGTAAATACGGTAACTATGCTATAAATACATTTATAATACAATAACTACTGTTTGGGATAGAAATATTTCTCATATCCAGGTGCTCCACCAAGGGAAAAAAAGAAAAAGAAATATTTATCGTGATTTTTCCACAAAACCTTTAATTCCTAATTAGGTACATCCTAGGATAATATTTAAAATCTCATGCATTCCCTAGGTATACATTGACTAAGTAGTGAGGTAGGGATAACCTACAAGTATAACTGCAGAAAGTTGCTCTAGGAGTCAAATTGTTTTATGGAGAGTCTGTACGTTGATTATTCAAGATAATTGTGATAATAGATTTACTTTTTATGTATTTAATATTAAGCTAATATTAAAATACACTTGTCTTCCCAAGTACATACCAGCTGACCTTGAGAAAAAGAACTCACCTAGAAAGGGAGAATTTTATTACAAGGATACACTGGACTGTTTTAACAGAATTAACAGCAGAGTGCAGGCTGACCTAAGATTTTGTAGAAGACAATGGGCATCCAGACTATAATTTAGATAGCACCATTTTATGCCTTCGTGAAAAGAATCCTCTATGGTTATGCTTTATGAAAAATGTGGCTAATTAAGTACCACCTTCCCATAAATGTTAATGTCAACAATTCTGCATATGTAATTATTTCATTAGAACTGTTCTGTGAGTAGTTTTATTGCTTTTCTGGTTCAGGGGTTTATTAGTTTCTATTTTTAATGCTTACTACATATGTCAGGCTCTGTGCAAAGTATGTGGTCTACATTATTCTGGAAGGTAGATCTTATTACTCTCATTTTTCTAAGGTAAATGAAGCTTGGAGAGGTGAAGTGCCACATCCACTATTAAGCAATGGAGCCAATATTCACACTCAGGTCTGACTCTAATGTTTATACATAAACATTATTATATGCTCATTAGAAAATAGACTGATATATGCCACAACTCCAATAGAATGCAGAGTACCACGAATTGGTAATAAGGTTACCAAAGACAGTAAAATCCTGCTTCTGACATTTATTTCTGAAAATTGGTCAAACATGTCCAACCTCCAATAAAATAAAAAAATCTGCAAACTGTAATCATTTGTTTTCATTATAAGACTATTGCCAAGGAGTAACTTGTGAGCTGTAGCAGGTAAGCTCAGAACATAGGGTCTGGAGCTGAAGCTTTACCACTTATTTGCCGTGTGCCCTTGGACACATTTATCTGTAGTGATGCATTTGGCATTTATGAACGTTAGAGTTTAATACATGTAAAGGTACTTAAGTGACACCTAAGCACTGAAAGACTACTGCCTCACATTGTTCACATCCAAAGGCTTATTTAGCCCTTTCGTTTATAGGGGTATTAAACGCATTTTCGATTCACGATGGGTTTGGTGGAGCCCCAATCGCAGCGTAAGTCGAGGAGTGGTTATACTCTGAGAGCTATGCACAACACAAGAGCACCTTCCTAGTTTAACAGCGAAATCACAGAGGACACATTTCACGAAGAACTGCTTCACATGGCCAAAGAGGTAACATCTCATTTTAAGCGTCTTTGGCAAGGCGGACCAAGTATGAACACACTAGCTGTTTTCTTCTGCACTCACAACCGCATCATATCCATTCCACACCGCAGCTCCCTCCGCTCAGACCCCACGGAACTACAAAATTAGCCCACAGTGCCTAAGATTTCCAAGAGCGGGTGGGACCACAGTTGCGCAAAAGGAGAAGGGCTTCCATTATGACAACAGCAGTGAAATACTCTTGTTTTAAGATTCCCTAGAAGAAAGAGAGAAGTGCAAGGAACAACCACCACTACACAGAACAAGACACAAGCTGCAGCAACCCAGGACCTTTTTTCTCGTGCCGACACAGGCGGAAGTGACGCAAGCAGACGGAGCGCAGGGCCGCCCAGCGGGATAGTCGGGCGGGAGGGGGAGAGTGAGGGGGGTTGGGGGTGGGGCGCGGGCGCAGCTCCGTTTCCGGTGGCTCGTCGCGCTCGCTCACTCCAGCTGCAGCCACTCTCGTCCGTGGCTGCTTCCTCCATCCTGGTATTTTTTGGAGCCTCCATCCTGGTTCTTCCAAAGTGCCCGGACCCAAAACAGGAAGTAAGTGCGATGGAACCTTCAGGTCCCAACCGCCGCCAGGGCCGCTCCGCCCAGTGGAGCCTGTCCGGCCCCTTTGCTGCCCGCTAGCTCCCGCCGGCCGGCGCAAGCTGCCGGCCCCTGGGCACCGCGGGCGGGGTCAGAGCCGGGCCTTCCGGACGCCGAAGCTGTAGTCCCCGCACGTTCAGGCCAGGGCCTCCCTCTCAGGGCCAGGCGGCGGTGCTGGCTCAAGCTGCAGAGCAGGGGAGCGAGTGGCCGCTGAGGCACAGCAGCGATCCGGCGGGGGCGGAAAATGGCGGCGGCTTCGGAAGAGCTAAATGGCGCCGGGACCCCTGGGGGGTGGGGTGGGCCGGGACCTTTGGTAGAGAATTGGGCCGGGGAGTGGGGACAGTAAGGAAGCCTTACTTGTTTTCTCATAGTGTTGTTTTTTAATTTTATTTTTTGTTACCTTTTCTGGTTTTGTTGTGTTGTCCAGCGAAGGAGAGGTGGGCTTGGGTGGGGTTGAGAGAGTGGGGGCGGGTCTCGCTCCAACTCTCTACCCACCCACCCCACTCCTCCGCGCGGTTTTTTTTCTTTTTACCTTGTTTGCGTCTTAAGACTCTTCGGTCTTTTTGGGCTTGGCCTTGCTCAACAATTCACAGCCCAGGCGGAGAGAATGGGAATTTCTGGCCGAACCATCTCTGTCAGCCTGAGTCCCTTTAAAGAAGGAGGGACGTGGACTGGGGTGCGGGGAGAGTCCTAGCGGAGCAGAGAAAATGCGTCTGCAAAGTAATAATTGTCATACTGTGCCGAGTTCTGAGCAAGTTTGTTAAATTGTTAAATCTGCTTTGTTCTTTAAAATGTACTTTGTTTTGAGAATCTTTTCAGGGAGATGTGTAATCTGTTTTACCGCAATCTCCGGAGTAGGTCTGAGAGTAGAAATGGCCAAGTGCCGTTCTGTGCTGTTGAATGGTATAGCTTATGTTTTTATAAAAATTTTTGATGTGGATAAGGAAAGGATCCCTTCCTTTCCCTGACTGAATTTGCTTTTCTCTCAACTTGATTCATCTTTACCTCTTTTTTAAAAAATTTACAAGAACTCGATTTCTTTTGTGTGTATACTTCCTGACAGGCGAGACTGTTGTTGAGACATCCTACAAAATGCATATTCTATAGAATTACTAATATTACCGTGTCTTTAAGTTTAAAAACTTTTTTATTATACCTATATTTTTAAATCGTAGTAGACAACCATTTGTAGCTTTTAAGCCCCAGTCCAAGTAAGAAAATAGTTTTCCGCTATGTTGAAAGTTTTACAAACATAAAATGCATCTTGCATTTTCAGTTAAAGATGTTCATACTTTTCCATTGCTTAAAATTTTTTTAAGCGGGTGTTAAATTTGTTTCAGATAACTTTCTGAGGATTACTGTATTTTAATTATGTTAGCAATTTGAGTAATTTACCACCACTTTAACATTTAAAGACTCCGACTGTGGTGATACACCAAAATCTTAGCTTTTTACTGAGATGGTGTAGTGGAGGTAAGATTTCATGTATTTGGTTAAAATTCAGAAATTTAGTTGAGATTTAGGAAAAAATAAAAGGTTAAAATTACATTCCATAGCACTACAAAGATTGTCATGCCGGGAGAATACAATTTGGTGTGAGAATTAAGGTTTTTTTTCTTCCATTCACTAACACAAAAAGCTTGATCCTGTCTGAATAAAACATTATTTGTTACAATTATGAAGAAAAATATAGTTCATGATCTGTGATAATTTTCATCTCATTTTAA